ACCGCCCCCCCCCCCCAGCTTAATTTCCTTTTTCCTTTTCCTCCTCTGCAGTCAGGACAGGGAGGAGGGGAGACAGAAAGGGAGGACAGAGGGAGGAGGGGTCTCTTTATAAATTTCCCAAAGTCCAGGAGTCCTTTCAGATTGCTGGTGCCAAGGAAGAAGTCCAATCCTGAAACCTAACCCCCCCCCTGAGATGGGAGCAGAACGTTTTCTCATTTTCATTTTTGTAGCAGGTAAGATGCATCAGACCAGGGATTTTGAAGGAGGGGGACGGAAGCATTTTGGCAGGGTCATGTCTAAAATCCAGCATCTCAGTGCTTAGGAAAAAAAAATTGGTCTGAATCTATTTCATTCTCAGTTGATTAACCCAAGGCAGCCTGTCCAGACCAGGTTCCTGGCAGATGTGTTTGAATTATAACTCCTATGTTCCTCAAGCAACAAACTCCATGTTGCCTGGAAAGGTGATGGGAGCTGTTGTACACCCCCCCCCCCCCGTTGCCTCAAGGGCAAAAGGATGTAAAAACACAAGGAGGTTGTGCAGGGGAAACAGTAGCTATGTGGAATATATCTGCAACATTATCAATCAGCAGTGCCATTTCTTCTGTGGTTCCACGTTTCTTATGTTGACTGCCCTTAAGAGTTTGCTTGAAGGTTGTTGAGGGGGTTGATATCTCTCTGAATCTTTGGGTCTTCTTCTCTGGATTCATCCACGATAGCTAGGGCATCCTGGGAAAATCAGATACTTCCAGCCAACTAAACTAATTTCTGGAGAAAAATATAACTTTGGAGAACACAAATGTTGGCATCAGAATCTGCTATATTCAGGAGAGTTCCCAAGTGTTCAGAAAGAAGCCATAGTTAATACAGGGTATGCTATCTTTAAAGATGCAGTACCTGGATTTGGAAAAAAAAATCTTCTATTTCCCATTGCTTATCAGATCTATTAGTGAGTCTGTTCCCCATTTTTGTTTCCCCTTCCCTCCACTAAAGCTTATCGGTTCCAAAAGGGTCATTACTGTGGAAGGCAATTTCTGTAGGAGAAGTTTCCACATTAAGCCTACAATCCTATAGACATTCACCAAAGCTAGTTTTTTGTTGGCATGTAGAGCATTTTGCAATACCTGATGAAATATATTTTTGTTTGGCTTCAAAAAAGACACATGTAGGGGCAACCATACACAGAAATGTTTCCATCTCCATTTCCATTTCTCATATTAAAAAGTGGCTAATAATAATAGATTTAAAATATGGGTACTGTACCTAGGTAAGAAAAACTCAATGATAATCTGGGTTGATTCTTTAATCCTAACTGTATGTATAATCTTAATTGCATTGATATTGTGTTTTTATATTTGTGCTAAAACCTTAACTTTTTTCTTATACTTATGTAGGTTAGACTGAGGGAGCATAATGGGAGGGCTTTAATAAGTAGCACTGTATGCAAATTTTATTGGTCAGTTGAATAATGATGATATTGATGGTCTTCTGGATTTATGCTGCCTTATCATTATATGATATTTTAAACCTCTCTGACCTTTCTCATTTTTATTCTCCTTTTTTGTTTGATTGCATTCTGACTAGGGAAAATGACAAGGAAAAGATGGAAGAACTATCTAATATATAATGGTTGGTAACTATGAGCCCCGAATTTAGAAGTGTATAACACTCATGCAGTTCATCAGCTAAAGATTCCTAAACCTTCAATTCCTCAATTCTTTTTAGGCAACAGAAAACTTGCACTCACCATCAAATGTGACACAAAAAAAGATTAAGGATTACTTAAGATTTCTTGACTTCATAGTTGTGGGGTCTTTGGCTCTCTCCGAGCTTGGTTGAGCAACCAAGATCAGATAGGACCCATAATCCCACAATTCAATCCTGAGCTACAAATATTTGTGTCTATCAGTAACTTCATAGTTGTAAATGTTATTGTTACCACAAAGGATTGCTTGGTTGTAAAAGTTTGTTTAGTACAGGTTGCAAAGTGTCCCCACCTACTTTATGGAGTGGAGATTCTAGAAGGTGCCTTTACTGCCAGGTGGGGTCTTCAGTTGCAAACTTTTGGATATCTTTAGAAGAAAATATTGCCTGTGTTATTGAGATGGTTTTGCTCATTATTATCAGAAAATATATAAGATTTTTATGGAAGTTTTTCACCAATGCATATTTTTTCTCTCTCCCAAGGGGCTGTACAGGGTGCCAAGGAATCTCTGGAAATTATTCCTATAAATGGGAACGTGGAATTGAACACACAGACATACTTTTTATGCAAAGGTAAGTGCAGAAAAATGAAGAACTGTGCATATATAAAAGTGTCATCAGGATAGTATTTTACCTAGTGGGGGGGAGTGGATGGATTGGGAGAAGTCAGTTTATGCATTGTAACCAAAATGCCCAATTCATCCTATAACGTCTGTACATTAGTCAATAAACAGAGAAAAAAAAATCTCTGAATAAAACGGAGTCATATTGTCCTACTTTGACCAAGACTATCCAAGGCAAGACTTTTTCCAAGGCTGCTTCTTTCCTCCCCGCCCCTCCCACCCAACTTATAGGTTTAAAATATATTATTTGAATGGAAAATTATTAATGCAAATCTGTGGTTTTTCAAGTGTTGCTGGTCTCCTGCTCTCTTGTTTTTGATATTGGCCAAATTGGCTGAAGCTGATATAGGTTGATATTGTACAGCAGCAGCAGGCCAGCATTTGACTAGCATGGATCTGAAGTTTAAAATTCCTATGGAAAGATGGGGAAAGGTGCTTAGGATGTCACAATTCCTAGGGATTTTCCAGTGACTGGGTCCGCTGCAGAATTTCAAACCGGTGGGGTTTTTTGGAACTTGATTACCAGGTGAAAACTATACCTATAGTAGTGGTTTCTGTTTTTATGTGTGTCTAGGCTTTCCCAGAAGTGTCCATACATTTACAGGTCTATCCAAACATTGATTGTGGTCAACATTGCTCAAAGTGATTTAGCAAAAAAGACAAAAGAGAATTGTATTCAGTTTGTTTTGAGATAGTAACTTACCAAGACAGTAAATTACTTCCTCACTAAGTTGTAAAGAACTTGAGGTTAAAAAAAAGGATCAAGTGCAATAAAAACAAAACTCTCAGAATTATTAGCTGGTCTGAAGGCTAGAAGAGTTTAAGCCAGCAAAATCCAGATCTGATTCCTGGAATCTCCAAACATGTACTGTAGATGAACTGCCTTAGGATTACTTTCTTGTTTTGAGAGGCTTCTTGTTTTCAACAATAGGTTTAACACCCATCTTTACAACAAAGCTTTTCCAAAATGATTTGGAAGCTATATAGCAGCAGGCTGGTTAGTTCTTCCATAGGGATCCGAGAGCTGTAAAATAGATTGGGAAGTTAAAAAATATCCCCAAAAAGGCAATGGCAAACTAAGACTATTTGTTGCCTGTTAAGCTATATGGATATTTGGCATTTCTTTATGCCAAGCTAGTGACAGCATGTAGGTGAATTTGGCAGATCTCAAACACCCTAAACAAAGTTGAACCTATTAGTAGTTGGATAAGTGATTGCTAAACAATCCCGGGGTCTGTAGTCTAGACTGGGAAATCAAAAATCTTTTCTGAATGAAGGCAAAGAAAGACAACTTCTATTTTATCCTGATAAAACTACTTGAAGGAAGTTCTAGAAATTGTCCTTGACTTAAACGTTTAGTTTACCAAAAGGTTAATCTGATATATGTTAAAACTGTGTCTGTAGCCACGAATGGATGCTTGGCTTCAAGTGAGATTCAACTAAGTGCCCTGTGATGCGGATCCATAAAGCAAAAAAAAAAAAAATGTAACCTATTTCCCGGCATGTGGACATGTGGAATTATCTTTCTGCTCATTTTTAAGGCATTTCCACAAAGCAGAATAATGTCTTCCCTTTCAGAGTTTCAGAGGGAGGACATTATTCTGCTTTGTGGAAATGCCTTAAAAATGAGCAGAAAGATAATTCCACGTGTAGAATGCCTCTCTGAAGCACCACCTTGAAGCAAGGATTCCATGGCACAATGCTTTGCATAATCTCAATTATGTCCATCTGGCTATTTCTTTTTGCTGCCAGCCCATGACCCCTTCCTCCTTTTATTATCCCAACAGAGTGATTCTTGAAAATGCTTTGGAAAACAATTGCTTGTTGGGGGAACTGTCGTCCTTAATAATAATATAATAATAATAATAATAATAATAATAAAGTTGGAAGGGACCTTGGAGGTCATCAAGTCCAACCCCCTGCTCAGGCAGGTAACCCTATACCATTTCAGACAAATGGTTGTCAAGTCTCTTTTTAAAAACTTCCAGTGTTGGAGCATTCACCGCTTCTGGAGGCAGGTTGTTCCATTGGTTAATTGTTCTAACTGTCAGGAAGTTTCTCCTTAGTTCTAGGTTGCTTCTCTCCTTGATCAGTTTCCATCCGTAGCTTCTTGTCCTGCCTTCAGGTGCCTTGGAGAATAGCTTGACTCCCTCTTCTTTGTGGCAGCCCCTGAGATATTGGAACGCTGCTATCATGTCCCCCCTCGTCCTTCTCTTCGTTAAACTAGACATACCCAATTCCAGCAACCGTTCCTTGTATGTTTTAGCCTCCGGTCCTTCTTTTTGTCTTCTTCTGAGGTCTCCCTACTTGTAGCACACTGCATGTGTGCAGAAGCATCTTCTTTTGGAAGCACCGGGACAGGCTTCCATAGCTTTGAGGGAAGGTCAAGTAACTTCTTGAAGTGAAATGAAGCAATATGACCTTGACTTCCCGTGCTCTGTTAACTGTGCCTTTTTAAACTTTTCCACTTGCCAGTGAGAGGAGGTGGAGAAGCCGCTCTGACTTGGACTGATCCAGGTGGAAATGAAATTGAAGAGGATTCGGAGCCTTACCGGGTGAAGGTGATCGATGAATTATCCAAGGGGCTGGAGATGACCCTCACTCGCTCAGATCAGGGTGGGATGTTCAAGTGTGAAGGAAATTTTGATTCCGGAAAAACTGCTACTCATCAAATTGAAATCCACGTGATTCGTAAGTAATATTTATTTGAGCATCCAGGAAGAGGTCTCAGTGGAATATATAATCCATCTGCACAATGGAACCCAACATCGATCAGTAGCTAAGACCCAAAATGGGACAGTGGATAAAATGGCAGAGAGAGCAAAGCTAAAAAAACCCAACAACAATAAAATGCAGCACAGTTCATTAATTGTGCTTTCAAAATCTACCTCACCTATGGACACCAGTGTCTTAACTTCTCTAGAGACCCAGAATGTATTAGGAGCATTTTTATTTTGATGCATTTCCAGAGCATGCCAAGGAAGAAAACCACACCAGACCTTGCAGATTCAAAATGCAAGGAGATTCAAGGAGAATTTATAACTCAACCTTTTCTGTATTTCTCTTCCTACAGCAAGTGTGGACCATCCTCTTCCTAGCTGAATTGTTGGGATCTGCTGCCAACTTTTATTTATTTTCTGTGTTAGTCTATAGAAAAATCCATCTCTTATATAAAGTTATTAAGTTTTGTGTTACTTTCAAAGGTTATAGATTGCTCAGCGGTATACTGTATATAGTTAGTGGGATGTCCCAAAACCTCCTCCTTCATTCTGAATTCAGTTCTTATTGTTGTATTTCATTTCTTTCATTTTAAGAGTTGTTTGAGTCGGGCAGTATATCAAACAAATAAAGGATTGAATATGTGCATATTTGATATTACTTATCTCATGACTGTAATACAGTGAAATGAAATATATTGTTCTGGATCAGAGTGTTGTGCAAACACCAGGGCATCCATGAGGGGTAAGGTTGACAAAGTCAAGATGGCTGCTGCAATCACTTGACTGATGTACCCATCTTGACTTTTCTTTCCTAGTAAGAAAGAAAGACACTTCAATGTTTTTTTGTCTACTCAAGGAAGTTTAGTTTTTAATTTCTTGTTTACTTCCAAATTTTCATTCACACTGTTCAGAAAAGATACTCATTCACTTTTTGAACACTTCCTGAAGTCTAGATACCACACAGAACATAAAAAACACTCTCCAAATAAGCTGCCAGTTCATAGTGTTGTAATGATCACTGTTTCATCTAGAAATGATAGACTACCTTAAGGTGAAGCACCTTGTTCTTCCCACTGAGTTTTGTTTTCTAATCTCTGCATTTGATCTGTAGAGAGACCTACGTTTGGGAACACAATGGATCTTGCGAAGGAAGTTCATGAGGGCCAAAATGTAGAATTCAACTGCTTGGTCAAAGGGATACCACCACCAACTATTAGATGGATTTTTGGAAACCAGGACATCAGAAATATTAGGGAAAGTGAGTATGAGATTACTTATGGAGATCTCTATTTAACAGAAGGGACAACTTTTTTGTGTGGTGGGAGACAACAAGCAATATTTTTCAAGAGGTTAAAGATCATACTGAATTTGATAAAGCTAGAAAATGTCCAGGGCTATTCTATAGTATGTGAAACCAGGATTGTCTACATTTTCCTCATATTTTGGAGGATGAATTTTGTCTCTTCTTCCTTCTCCTAATTTAAAAAAACTTTTAGCCAATTTTTATTTATTTCATTACTTATACTTCACTTCTCCCTATCCAGATCCTTTCAGCTGGAATAGAGACTTTCATTGCATTACATGTTTGGCCCAGGCTGGAGATGTATAGTTGGGTATCAACAATAAACTGATGTACCAATCCCTCGTATATCAGAAGATCTTCCCCCACATCTCCATGTAAATGAAATAGAGAAAGGATTGAGCTTATGAACTACTGAAACTCTATTATTACAGGGTGTAATAACACAGTTTTGAAAGTCTGATATTCTCCCTTTCCTCCCTTATATGAAAGACAATCAAAGCGGGGCAGTCTTGAGTTTTTTTCTTCACCCTCTCCTATCTATTCAGGTTAAATAGATGTTTACATAATCATCTTGAATTCCTTTTTCAAAGCCACATCCATACTTCTCTATATTGACAGCCTAACTGTGATAGACTGCGCACCTGAAGAAGCAGTGGAGAGAGTCTTGGCAGCACAGAACTTTCCTGTGGAGGAGTCAATACATTCCATAGAAAAACAAACCATAGAAACTGCACAGTCCTGTGCTGGATAGGGGAAGGGGTTCAGGATAGCCACGTCATAGAATCTCTCAGGATATATATAGTCAGTTAAAAAACTTTAGTTTGGCAAGAGTCTGTCCATTAGGTCTAAGCAACTAAAGAACTGGACTCATTTGTATTTTGCTGTATTGTCTCTTGGTATGGGCCTGACATCAGCTTTTGCCTCCTTACATATGCTGATTGAAGCTGCCAGCTCAAGAAGGGGGTGTGTGTCACTGCAAAAATGGTGCCTCCAATACTTCTGAACATCACAGGTGATCCAGAAGAATGCCGTGACCAGTGGCTTCACAAGCTTTAGTTGAGCAGGAAAGTAGGGTGGCACACACCCCATTCAAGTTCTACATAGGTCATTCACAAAAGTGACAGTTTCAGAAAACTGTCTGAAATGGATCCAGAAAGCAAATATGTTACATACTTGTTGCGTATTTTGAGCCTCAAAATGAAGGAAACTTCTTGTTTCTAATTAGTTGTGGTTACATGAAGTTTGATGGTTTCACTTAGCCCCAAGACTGCCTGGGGGTACAGATAGAGACTAGAGAGAAATTTAATTACCACAGCAATTTCTTTTGGGTTTACAGGGCATATCTTTGTTGAAAATGGGACGCTGCTGATACAGAACACCCAATTTTCAGATGCTGGTATTTACATTTGTGAGGCAACCATTGAAGAACGCAATGAAGTAGCTTTTGCAAACTTCACGCTCAATGTTAAATGTAAGTTCCCATTTTCTGTCTCATGGCACTGTACCAAGTTAGGAAGTGCTGACTTTTCTAGTGTGTGTGTGTGTGTGTGTGTGTGTATGTGTGTGTGTGTGTGTGTGTGTGTGTGTATCAAATTCAGGGTGAAGTCCGAGAAGCTTTGATTAGACACATTCATTGATTTGATAGAGAAATCTTTCTTGCAGCTAAAATTATAGGCATACAAAATTACAAAATGATCATTTTTCAGATTTTATGTCAAACCAGAATATGTCTGAATAGCAAAATCTGGACTCCTGAGCATTTTTAATATCGGCCATAGTTCAGAATATGTACTAGGTTTGTATGATAATGCATTCTGGAGGAGAATGCTTGCAAAGTAAACATGCTAAGACAAAAGTCTATAAAAACCTTGCCATTTTGTGCAAGCTCTGTTTTATTGAAATTAGTAAAGGCAAATGAAAATTGAGAAAGCTGAATTTGCATTACAATATAGTGGAGGTTGTAATTGCATTAAAAGAAATCATATTTCTTTTTTATTATACAAACAATTCAACATGGTCTGCTTCGTATGCTTAAACTTTTATTAATATCATATTGAGTATGAATTGCTTAACTTTAATAAATCTCTGCCAATTTAGTGATAGTATCTTTTTTTGAGAAAAAACCACTGTTTGACATAAACAAACACAATGGCTATACTTAGAACAACAGGGAATTATTTATACCCCTTTGAGAGATGTTGGCTATACTGTAAATTAGTGAGTTAGCGAGACAGTTTTTGTTTTGTTGTCATGTATTTTAAAAGCCAGGAAAGTCTAGAGAGTAGTCCGGCTGCCAGCAGTTGCTAGTTCATTTAGTTCACACTGTCATGCGGTCTAGGGTGCACCATGAGGGGCAAAACTAGTTACACCTCCCGTCCCAAAAAGGTGCCAGGCTTTGAACTATCACATCAGCAATCCTGAATAGGATTCGCACCTCATACGGTGGCTGTCGGGACTCTATATAAATGAGGCACGTCAAACTGTAGATCATATTGTGACCGGCTGTAAGGTGAGGGCATATACCAGTCTAGTATCTGGTTTTTAAAAAATATAAATTATCCTGCATTTCTATGATTAGATGGCCTAGAGCAGGGCTGGGGAACTTTGGCTCTTTTATGACTTGTGGACTTCAACTCCCAGAATTCCTGAGCCAGCTTTGAAGTCCACAAGTCATAAAAGAGCCAAGGTTCCCCACCCCTGGCCTAGACATTGATATTTAAACATCCTTGCAGATCTTTTTAACATTTATATTTTATTGGGTTCTACTAAACTAGATGAAATGTTAATATATATTTCTAGTCCGTGTATGATATGCCATATACTAAACAAAGGTAAGTGAGACAGCCTTATTGCCTATTACAGTAACTCTCTCTGCTGTTATGTTATTGGTAACTCTAACTGGTGAGTTAATTGCTGAATTTTTAATTGTTAGTTTTTATGATCATTTTTTTTAATGTATGCTGTCTGAAGAAGTGACACTTAGATGGGTGGCTATATAAATATGACGAATAAAATCATGGCAAGAGATAGAAGTCACTCGGGCCAGTTTATGCAACCTGCAATGCCCTTTTTCTATTGGAATGGAATTCCTAAACTCAGTAGACCAGGGGTCTTCAAACTTGGCCCTTTTATGACTTGTGGACTTCAACTCCCAGAATTCCTCAGCCAGGCATGTTTGCCTGGCTGAGGAATTCTGGGAGTTGAAGTCCACAAGTCATAAAAAGGCCAAGTTTGAAGACCCCTGCAGTAGACTATTGACAAACAAAAATATCAGCTTCAACCACATTCTATTAGATACATGCTGCGGTATGAATATGTGTGCTTAGAATTAGACTTGGATTCCAGCCTAATCTCAGTTGCAGCCTGCACTTTGAATTGACACAGAGAGATGGCCAACTGCCACTCTCGCTCTGACAACACTTCCACTTGTTAGGAAACTTGCCAGCATCACCCAGCCTTCCTCATTCTTATAGGCCCAGCTCTTTGAAGATTGCTTACTAATACTCTGAATATTGCAGGCAGATTCTGAAAACCCCAGAGGTGAAAAGTTTACGTCTGCTGCTGACTTCCCCTACTTTTTAAAACTGAAAACATGGGTTTTTTTTTTAAAAAAAGGTAATATCTATAGATAATTACTGAAATTATACAATTGATGCTCAGTACAACACCAAGAAAAGTTTCTGAGCAGAGTACAGTACACTGTGTTGTTTTCATGATAAGAAGAAGTGTAATTTTTTGAGCTTAATGTCAAAATCTCTACTATATTATTTATCAAGGTTAAAAAAAGACCCCCCTCAAATAATAAAGGTAAATCTTTGGTTTATGACTACTCCGTTCTTTGTACTCCAACCGATTTGCAGTACTTCTTGGTGTAAACTTTAGAAACCATGTTTTAAGTGGCTTGCAAACCATAGTTTGTGGGCTAAGGCAATGTGTGAACCCAAGTATAAAATTCATGATATATTTCAATGTATATTTCTGTCCCCCCATTCAGTTGCTCCTATGATAGAGCTCCTTACAAGGGTACCTTTGGTTATCCAGAATGGGAATCCCATCCAAGTCAACTTCACCATACTCGCCAACCCCTCACCTTCTGTCTCCGTTGCTTGGAAGGAGAAGATTTTTGAAGAGGATACCATCAAAAGGATAGCACAGGACCAAAACAGTTATTTGTTCCTCTTTGAGGTGAGACATGACATTTGGTGAACTTGCCAAGGCTTGATTCCCTCTTATTTCACCCTGCTAAATTCTTTGAATAGAGGAAGAAATGAAAACATTGGTTAATGGTCCTTTTTCTGATTAGGTTGTTTCTTCCTCTTCCCATGATGACTTTTTCAAGACTTTCTTTCACCACTTCCCAAATTCTGACAAAATTTGTACTATTTTCTTAGCATGTATCCTGATTACAGGCTGCTTCTTGTTTTCTACACAGTTCCCAATCTCTTCTCTTCTCTTCTCTTCTCTTCTCTTCTCTTCTCTTCTCTTCTCTTCTCTTCTCTTCTCTTCTCTTCTCTTCTCTTCTCTTCTCCCCTCCCCTCCCCTCCCCTCCCCTTTCTTTTCTTTTCTTTTCTTTTCTTTTCCTTCTTTCCTTTCCATCCTTTTATCATTCTGTTTCTTTGGTCAGCACGTCTAATTTTGTAGCCTTCTCTGTTTCCATTTTGCATTCCAAAATGGTTATTCTTTTGTTGCTCTAACTGGATTTGGAAAACTTGTGGTCTTGCCAGCCTGATGCTCTTGTTTGTTAATTATAATCCAATTTTCTCAATTAGCAAAGTTTTCTATATACAGTATAATCAGCTCTTGCCGCCGCCAGCGGCAGCTGCTTGTTGGCTGTCTGATCCTGTTGGCTAGATGCCAATGATCAAAGTCCCTTTTTTCAGCATTTGGTTGACCAACATGATCTGTAGCTCCGTACCACCAGGGCTTAAGTAAACAAGCAACACCAGTCTATTAATGTCTACTGAGAAGGTTGTATTCTATAAGGGTAAAATGAAAACTCACCAGAAAGTCTCTCTAAAGAATCAGTGAACACAGAGTAGAGCACCTATAAGAGATGATGGTTAAAATGAGAAAGCAGTGATTGTTAGAGAACCAGTTTCACCCTCACTCCAAGATACATGGCACCATTTGAAGCTTTGGTTCCTGGGAACTTGTTCTTCTGCCTCTTGGTAGGCAACACCTTAAGGTGCTGAGAAACTGAGATATTTGGAGGGTGTGGAACCAGATGTGAGATCTAATATGACAGGTGGCAAAGGACAGATTTAGTTCCAGTCTGCAATCCTAAAGAAGTTTGTTTTGGAAAGGTTTGACTTGTGGGCAAAAGGTTCCCTATCCATGTTGTATGCAAAATCCTAAATTGGTTACTCTGAATTTGGTGAAGAATTTTTCTAATAGCAGATTGGGTGGTTTTAAGAAGGGAGATTAATTTTTAAAATTTATTTTGGGATTAGGTTATGCCAACACCACAGGAGGATATTTCAGAACTTTTCATAACTGCTGCTAATGAAGTAGGCATCACTAAGGAGAGCATCCCTTTTGAAAAAGGTGAATGGTCAACATTTACTCTCTTTTTTTCAAAAAAATGCATTTTATTGAATTTTTACAATACCAATCTTTAGTGCTTAGTAAACAGCATGTTATCTGGATTCAAATATTTAAAAAACAATCAATAATAATTAATTTCTATAGTTCCATAATCAATATATTAATTAATGATATATTTCCTTGATCTTCTCTTCTTCCAGTAGTATTCTCCTTTTGTCAACATTAAACAAATATATTCTTAATACTTTCAATACATACAAAGTTGGATATGAACATTTTTCTTGTGTTTGTACAAGTACCGTAACAATAACATCCCCATATAACAGTGATGGCGAACCTTTTAGAGACCAAGTGCCCAAAAACTGGCCCCGCCCCGCTCCACCCCCTGCCCCATCCCCATCCTGCCTGCCCACCGAGTCACTCACCGCCTCCAGGGCCCGCCACAGATCGCCCAGGCAGCCCAGAAGCACCATGGCAGCCACGCCCTCTACCCGCGCCCCGCAGCATCAACTGTGCGTGATGGGGCGTGAGGGCAGAGTCTTGTCTACGCTGCCTGGCTGCCATGTCCTTGGCTGCGCTACTCTGCGTGGGCCACGCTCGGGGGGCGACTCTCCTCCAGGGGGGCTGCTGGTGAGGAGAGAGTCATGGGGGGAGGCAAGGCTGGGGCAATGGCACGTGTGCCCACAGAGGGCTCCGAGTGCCACCTCTGGCACGCGTGCCATAGGTTCGCCACCACTGCCATATAACATCTTTTCTGATCGGCTTATGTTTCAATTGTATTTGTAAAGATCATCATCTTTAATCAAAACACCCTTTCTTCTAATTTCACTGTCACTGAATTAGCCAAATAATTATAGGTGACCTATTGTGCATATATTTAATAAAATCACTAACCTTTTTAAAACAGGCTCTGTAAATCTTTAAATTTACACAGCAGAGATTTAAAGTTGAAAACTTTCTGAGTCAATTAAATAAACTGGTCTTTGTTTCATTTTGGGGGAAGGAAGAAAAACTCAGAAAATGAGCAAACACACACTGTCGTTTCCTCATTAAGCCTAACTTTATTTTATGTCTGTCCCTTACAATGTATACAACTCAGTATAATTTAGCAAATGAATTTTTTTCAGTGCTTTGGGTTCATGGGTTACAGAGTGCTAGTGGTACTTTTATTGTCTCTAGTTTTGGAAGAAAATGTTGATGCTTCAACCATCTTTCCCACCAATTGGTTCAAGCAGAAATACTTCTTTTTTCCAGATGGAGGTTTGGGATGGGGCAGCATTTTGGCAATTGTGTTGGCAATTCTGGTGCTCTTGTTGCTGATAGATGCCTTTTGTTATTACAAGCGACGGTGTGGCTTGTTGATGTTCTGCAAAAAGAATATTCTATGCAAAAGGTCTACCACAGGAGCTGAGAACAATGGGTAAGTTGGTATGTAGGAGCCAAGGATGGGCGTTATAGAACATAAAACCTAAAAGAAAGGTGGTGAGACAGGAATCCTACGTCTCTTCTAAGGTGACTTTTCTGAAACTCACTTATGGAACCCTCATTTGGTTTGATTCCATCCCCACTAGTTTGGTTCATATGTAGATGGTTTTCTGTCATCCTGGTTGAGTTTGATGGTTTCTTTGGGGTGACCACTCTCTTTTGTTAGCTCAGGTGATGCAAGCCATTTTTATTTAACATCATACATGCCTTGCGTGGTTTTCTTGATTGCCACAGTGTTTAGGAATTCCTCAGCAACCACATGTGGAATATTTGTGCGAATAATTAAATGTTCTGTAGGAAGAGTTCACAGGGTCAAATGCTTTTTCTTCTTTTTATAAAAAATATCTTGCTCAGAAACTCATAGCATTTGTTTCCTTGTTGACTGTAGAGAAATAATTTTGGGGGGATGTGGGTTAGATTCAGAAAATAGGGATGAGGCAAGGGGTTAAGTGACCCTTCCTGAATAGTAACCAAATCCTGAAGGACTAGTTAAAAAAAGGGAAATAAAGTTTGGATTACAGATCACTTGCCAATTATGTTAGTTGGATCTTTGAAGTTTCAATTAACAGAATAATAAAGAATAGAATAGAATAATAACTTTATTGTCACTTTGAATGTACACTAATCAGCATACATTAAAATGAAATTTCATTGCTAACTAAGACCTCACTGTTGATCTCATTTTAGGACTAACCTCATTAAAAATGAAAAGGTTGAAAAAAGAGATAAATCAAACCCCGAATTGCAACTGTATAACCTCCATAGATAGAAACTGAAAAAGGAAAGTCAAACATTTTTTTTGTTTCTTTCCACAGGAAAATCCTCTCAAAATCAGGAAAAAGTCCTGTAGTGAACATCTCTGGTTCAGAAGCCTGATTGGACCATAGCAGTGAGATCAGATGATGAAATGTTGACTTTCTGCAGCAATGTTTGGATAAACTGGGCATGGAAAAAGGAGTTTCTCCTTTTTATTAAAGCTCCTACTATTCTTCTACTCTTATTATCATCTTTGATGGAATTGTTGCTCTAAAATTAGTGGCAGGTAACATCAGTGGTGGGATTCAAATATGGGAACAACCGGTTCTCTGTGTGGATGCCGCTTCCGGAAGTCCATTCTGGGCCTGGGCAACAAAAAATTAGCTACCAATTCTGCCAAAGTGTTGCAAAATGGCTGAATCCCACCACTGGGTAACATCCATGATGGGCTGAAATCCTGCACCCCCAATTTGGAGTTGTCCTTTCTTCTATAGATAGGACCAAAATACATCATTACATCAATACAACATTATGTCAATAGATTACATCCAGAACATTTTTGCTTTTCAGCTACAATTTTTTTTTAAAAAAGTTTACCTTTAACATATAGAGGGGTTGTGATACTTTGTTACCCCACTATGTATTTATTGGTGTAGCCAAGGTTGTGATCACATTTTTTGTGCATATGGTGCTAACTCTTTCCAAATCAGAATTTTTGAATGGCATCGAAATAATCCTTATCATCATAACAGAGCAAATGAAATAGTTGTTATTTCCAATTAAACATCACTATGGGTTGAGTTGGTGCTTAGTGAAATACCTGGAAATGCACATATGTCCACTTTGACATACAGCAGGTTAGGGGTTGATACCAAAGAACCTCTCAAAATAAGCGAAAGTTAAAACATTTTGCTAAGATAACATCAAACCAAAAGGAGATTTGGGCATTTGATAGTAGAAAATACTAGATAACCTGTGACCATTGGGCCATAATTTCAGAGATATTTCCTTACCTAAACAGAGAAACAGAATGACCACAATAAGCAAGACAGCCATGTGAGTGGAAGCAACTTTCTATTTCCTGCTGGCTTCCCCATTGACTTTTCTTGTTGGAAGCTGCAAGAAAGCATTGAAAATGACAACCATTGTGGCCATGTAGTGGCATGGTAGCATAGCAACATTGAAATGGCCACAACTTCGCCAAATTTCAATCCTACAAGAGACATGGATCCTGGATTTTGGATGCATTCTTTAAGTTAGCCCATTTGAGGTACATTAATCCAAAAATTGTTGCCTTATGTTGCACCATTTTACCCAATCAAAGGTTACAGACAGACATGAGAGTTTTACTGGTATATAGATTCACCACAAAAGCATTCCCTGTAAGTTTATCCCAATCAACTGTTCTCAAATGGTCTGAGTCTCTATGGATTGCATGAGACACACAAGGTTTCTGGTGAAGACTCTTTGTATGCTGACTTCTGTGTGAGAAAGAATGTTATCAATATTGGATGTTTCTTTATGGAGAGGATAATAAGCCTTGATTGCTCCCGTGACCTTCATAATAAGGAGAACAATGTTGTGCTGTTCATCACTGAGCTTCTTCTTAGGGTGTGGCCCATAATGACCCAATTACAATTCCTGTAATTTATTTGTCCATTTATTGATTCTATATCTTTACATCAATTAAAAAGAATTGCTGTATTTTGCACTAGTCAATGGTGATACTACGTTTCTAGAGAACCTTGGATAAGTGTTCTTAATAAATCCTCTTTGCTCATTGCTTGCCTTTTGACAAACTCTTAATCTGATCAGTTATTAAATCCAGGCAAATTTCCTGGCAAATGGTTCTGGCACCCCACAGTTAGATTACATGGATCAATAATCATCATTTTCAAAATGGCCACTTTTTTTTTTTTTTTTTAGAAAGCAAGGAACATTCCATAAGCCCTTGCACTGAGATAATCCTGGCAAAGGTTCATTATCTCACTTACCCCTTCCCCACTCACTTAATAAATTTCTCATTTAGCAACATAGATTTTGGACTCAATAGTGGTCGTAAGTTGAGGACTTCCTGGGTTAGCAGCATGCTGTTTACAGTAGGTTGGGAAGGCCTTTCAGATCCAGAAAAGTTTTCTTTGAGTCCCAGGACAATATGCTGAAGAAAACCTTATGGGAATGGAGATTACCAAGCTGCTAAGTGGTGAGCAAGCAAGTGGAGATAGAAGGAAACTGCTTATGATGATGAGCAATATCTATTAAACTCTGTATTGCACACACTTTATATAATAATAATAATAATAATAATAATAATAATAATAATAACAACAACAACAACAACAACAATAATAACAATAACAACAATAATAAAAGTTGGAAGGGACCTTGGAGGTCATCTAGTCCAACCCCCTGCTCAGGCAGGAAACCCTATACCATTTCAGACAAACAGCTGTCCAGTCTCTTCTTAAAAACTTCCAGTGTTGGAGCATTCACAGCTTCTGGTGGCAGGTTGTTCCACTGGTTAATTGTTCTAACTGTCAGGAAGTTTCTCCTTAGATCTAGGTTGCTTCTCTCTTTGGTTAGTTTCCACCCGTTGCTTCTTGTCCTGCCTTCAGGCGCCTTGGAGAATAGCTTGACTCCCTCTTTTTTGTGGCAGCCCCTGAGATATTGGAATACTGCTATCATGTCCCCCCTCGTCCTTCTCTTTGTTAAACTAGACATACCCAATTCCAGCAGCCTTTCCTTATATGCTTTAGCATCCAGTCCCCTAATCATCTTTGTTGCTCTTCTCTGTACTCTTTCTAGAGTCTCAACATCTTTTTTACATTGTAGTGACCAAAACTGGATGCAGTATTCCAAGTGTGGCCTTACCAAGACATTGTAAAGTGGTATTAATACTTCACGTGATCTTGATTCTATCCCTCTGTTAATGCAGCCTAGCACTGTGTTGGCCTTTTTGGCAGCTGCAGCACACTGCTGGCTCATATTTAAGTGATTGACCACTAGGACTCTGGGGTCCCTCTCACAGTTACTACTATTGAGCAAGGTACCCCCTATACTATACCTGTGCATTTGGTTTTTCTTGCCTAAATGTAGAACCTTAGTTTCTTCACCATTGAATTTCATTTTGTTAGATAGCGCCCAGTGTTCAAGTCATTTTTAAGAGACATTTCAAGGAAGCATAAATTCCAAGGTACAGTTGGGTAAGGATTTAATCGCCAATCTTGAAAAGAACAACATCACTAATACCGTGGCTTGGATAAATAAATCATGATAGGCTAATCTATGAACCGAGCAGTTTTTCCATGCTATTCTTTGGGTGCTACTTGCATTCAGATAGTGCCATCTAGTGCAGAACATTGAGAGCATGAGAACAGCAGCCATAAGCCTTGATGACTCTGCTGTGCTTTAACAGACTCACTTTTATGCTTGGCCCATGACCAGCACTTTCACTTCCAGCACACACACTTCCTGAGTGCAGAAATATATCACGGTGTCTTTCTCCCACTACAATCCATTGCAAATGCACCCTGCAGCGTTTTTTCAACTTTCATTTGAAGCTGCTGTTTTCCAACGCAACTCATCTTCAGCCCCCTAGAATGAATGATCTCTAGCACTTTCTCCATTCTAATAGAAGCCCCAATTCTGATTGGCTGCAGTGCCTGGCACATCCCCCCCCTCCTCTCCAGCAGCTAGTTATTGGCCTGGAAAGCCTTTCATCCTGTCTTATAAACTTGCAATTGATCTAATGATGGCCTATTCAACCTATGAGCTTTCCTCACCCTGGGTTCCCCCCCCCCACCCTCTCTAGAAGCTGATTTTCAACCTTTTAAGACCTTTTTTCTTTCTGCTAGGCTGCTCCCTTAGCTTTCCCACCTCCTGCCTCAGAAAACCCCCCTTTCCCTTTATTTTTTTTAAACTTTCAACATAAGGCTGTTGCTCCTTTGTTTCTGTGAAGCTGGACTATCCTTGCCAAAAGGTCTCCATGGATTGAAAAGGAATGTAGGAACAAGAGAACAAGCTGTTCTCTGTTGCTTTGATTATTGTAGCATCAGAACTATGCAGGTACCATAAGGAGAAAAAACCAAAATAGAAAGGGCCTTGGCTAGTGTCAAAGGAGATGATGTAGGAAGGAATCTCTCTCTCTCTCTCTCTCTCTCTCTCTCTCTCTCTCTCTCTCTCTCTCTCTCTCTCTGGGAAAACTCAGGAAGGCTGTGGGCACTAATGGAGAGGGAAGAGTCCCTACCAGGTACTGCTAGACCAGTCCATATGGAAGATGGCCAATGAGGTTCACCTTCCCTGCAGGGATGAGAGGGCAAGAAGCACGAGAACAATCCATCTGGGTTGAAATGGTTTAGTTCACTCTGAACACCAGCCTGACCCCCTGGCAAACCAGACCAGAAGTCCAGAAGTTGGCTTAAGAAACAGTTGGGAACTGGATGAGAAAGAAGTGGCTGAGACTACAGGGTGGAATTGCCCTTAGACAATGTGAGAAAGGAAGAAGTTTAAAAATAAAACGGTCACAATTGATTAACAATAGAAGGATTAGCCAAGCCCTGCAGTAGGCACTAGATTTCAGGAGGCTTGGCTAGAAGACACACTTAACAAGACAAAAGGATGGCAGAGAGAAGTTCTGAACAATGTAACTGAGGGGGAGGGATGATGTATTCTGGCTAGGCGGATCGGACAGATTGTGCCCCCGGAAGTCCTCTCAAATGGGACCTAAGGGGAGGGGATGGGGACATCGTGATAGGAGTGTATATAATGTTATGAGTTTGAATATTTTTGGTGTGGTTTCTGGGTTTAGAACTTCCTGTTGAAGTCTCTCACCAGGATCCACCGCGCTTTGCAAACCGCTTTTCTATTTTCTGCAGAATAAACTCTTTTTCTTACCAATCCAATTTTGTTGGTATTTTAATCACGTTTCCAACAACAACCTGAGAAAACTGGGGCATTTCTAATACTGGGGGTTAGCTATTGTACGAAAAAGAAATACATGATGAAACACGGGGGGGGGGGGGGGAAGAAAAAGAAGGGAGGGACTTCATGGGGATATTCCTGATTTTATTTTATTTTTTAAGCGCAGTCTTAATCTGAGAACCTTTTCTGATCTCAAGGCC